TAGGTGTGTTGCACCTACTTTCACATTCTCTATACATATTCGTCACGGTGAAATTTTGCTTGTTCTTGACTCAGCCATCATGATATATGATGGTTCAACAAGACAACTAAAGCACACTGTTCATGTTATGCAATGTGAAGAAATCTATGTAGAAAGTCTTGTTAATCCCCTGACGATATCTGACCAGGGACATCGTAACCAGGATTCTCCACAATCATCACATAGCTGATAATTTGTAAGGATTCTGCTTAGTGTAGCTTGTTATGCTCTTTTTGCACCTTTTTTTTCTGCCAAATATAGGACAAGACATTGAATATATTTTTTTCCTGATATCGGAACTTAATTACCGTGTCATAAAAGGCTTCCTTTTCCTAAATAAGGGTAGGACCTGTGAGAGGCTTCAATCATATTTTCTTGATTATAAGTAGACAGAAAAGAAAAGAGCATTCGAATTGTTGAGTAATAGATGCAATAATCAGTATGTCTGAAGTTTCAACATAGTGCTGGTTAGATGTCAATTAAGGAGTTTAGCTAATGAGAAATGTTTGATTAAAACAACCTTTTACATCGAGAAATGATGATTCGCTCACGTCTATGTTGTTGCTTTTGTTTAAACTAGATGGCTATTTTGTTACTCTATAAACAGAGTCATTGTGAAAATTTTGTCAGGCACAACCTTAACTATTTGTTTTGTACTATTGAATTTCAGGAAGTGGAAGCTAATGTTGAACACTAATCAATAGTTGCTGCTGAGTTCATGGATCGAAATGATGAAGCCTTGTCATGATCTGTTTACTGTTGTTATCTTGTTATCAGATTTACAATCATTTGCTATAAACTAGAATCCTGATAACAATTGTATTAAAAACTTGGTTTGGCATAAACCTTTTTTTTCGTCTAATTAGATATTTGAATATCTCTAGAATGTGAAGAGAACCCGATATTGTTGAGTATTGAAATGAAACAGGTCCAAATGAAGGAAAATGGATATATAGAGGATTCACATAACTTGATTCCGACTAGTACACAAAGAATGTTAAAGGAAACCTTGTGGATTGATCCCCTGCTTTTCAGGGTGAAAGAGTATTATTCGTATACTGAAAATATAATCAGATTCATCTGTATGTTCAGCAACTGGGAACAAGCTAATGAAGATGAGGACGAAATTTTATATCCATTTTCTCCGTACCTTGTTACCAGTCGAATAAGGAGGCAATTTTACTATTTACTTCCCCCCCCCCCCTTATCATGACGGTTCAACCAGACAAGTAGAGGTTGCTGATCAATTTGAGGAATGTGCTGCCTGCAGAAATCTATGTAGAAAGCCTTGTTGATCCCCTATTGATATCATGAAACCTCACAATCATTTAGCCGATAACTTGTAAGAGTTATTTCTTTAGCTTCTTACGTCAGCTAGGTCAGATTAGAGCAAGAATATTTGAGATTATATTCCCCATATTTGGGGACAGGGAGCAGAATCCTCAAGCGAGAAACATTCAATATCTCAGATTAGATGAAAAACCATTGTATCAAACACTGGATCTAACGTAAGTACATCAATAATTAGCATTTTGAATCCAAATGACAAATTTGATAATTTATCTGGAACGTAACTGAACTGCTTCGTTCACCCATCCTACTATCAAAAGAAGAAAATGATCACATTTTGTAACTCAGTCAAAGTTACTATCCAATTCTAACTTGATCTCTGCAACTCGATCATACTGGGATAAAGATGAAATTTGGTACATACCTTGTTGCCAGGATTGTAAATGCAGTTATACTAAACATAACAGATATGATGGAGAGAACGAATCAGAACATTGTATAAAACGAAATATCATTAATGTATTGATCACAATAAATAAAAAACAGAAATATCAAGGCTTCTATCTAAACAAAAGCAGGTAACAACTACGCCTTAAGATGCATGCAAGTTGGCCTGCACACCACCATTATGTATTGTTGTGCTGGCTAACAATTCTGAGGAAAATTGAACTACAGATATTTGCAGGCCTATTCAGAGAGAAGTATACAATAACTAGTAAACCATTTTGTGTATCATGCAACCTAGAGGAGAGGGAGGAATACTACATCTCAGCATCCTTACCACACGACACATCAGGGGTCGCTTCACGGTGGACAAAGCTGATATTCAAGCCTACAGAACCAAAAGATCAATGACTCTAATAGCAGACACCACAGTTGGATCAGTAATTCTGCGTAAACTCAATCTGGCCGAGTTAATCGTCTAATTCTACTTTACCAGAATGATGACTTGCTATACTAATATATTGGATTATGCCAAAAAGGTGCTATAACAACTAACTGTTAATAATTCTCTACGTAAGGTGAAATAAAAAAGGATTATGAATCTAGACTGATTCGAGGAGACAATTCAAAGTAAATTATTTTTAGGATAGATAGTGTAAGATTCGATACAGAGGCAAGAACTGATGTAATGCTTGTCCGCCATCTTCTTAAAGATCGATTCATTGGTATAGTCTAAGCTGTCAGTCTGCCACTGATGAATGCTTGTCCTAATAATCAAATACAACATTGCGGCCAAAATAAAGAAATTTGATGCTTCTATAAACAATAAACTATTCAGAAAGTAGTGAATCAAATCAGAAGTTTAGGAATTTGATTTTCAATTATTTTGAGCTAACAAAGTCTTGTTGTAGGTTGTACGACTGTGGCAGGTTGATAGCTAGTGTAAAATTGTCATGGTAAGTCTTCTTACTTATTAATTAATTTGTTGGGATGTTGGGGTCGAATAGAAAGGAATAGTTGTGGAAGATTCATATAACTGTACTCAACTTTATTAGGACCAAGGTATAGTTGATTGATATGTCTACCATATCACAAATAAGTAAAAGGTTGTGTTCCATAGTTAACATTATCAATAGTCTAGGAGTGATAGTAAAGGAGTGTGCCAAGTCAAACATGGACAAATAAAGGTACGCGGAGAGAGTAGTAATTAAACTGTAAAATAGAGATGAAAATCCAATTAAACTAATTAAAGAATTTAATCGAAAGTATTTAACTAACACCTAAAAACCTATTAAGGGGAAAAATCCTAAATAAAATAAGCTAAATGACCAAAAAAATAAAAAGGAGAATGAAAAAATCTGCTTCAGGCTTGATGATGACTGCAATAGTTCCTCACTTTGCGTAGGAAAAATGGTACCCTCTTGGAGTGCGTGAACTCTTTATAAAAGCAATCATCTGAAATTATAGAAAGTACTTGGCAGCATTGTGTGGATAATGAAATTTTACGCTTGGAAACTGAAGTGATCAAATTGAATGCACAACCGTCCACCTTGATGCAAGAAGTGGTTGGAGCCGGGTCTGGGCCCCAAGAGGGAGCCATGTGCGATGGAGAAACGACATCATCAACCGGGGATGGGGATGGGGATGGAACCACATGAGTTGGTGAAGCTGCATTATCAACTAGAGATGGAGATGGAGCCGCATGAGTAGGTGAAGCCACATTATCAACGGGAGATGGAGATGGAGACACATGAGTTGGTGAAGCCGCATTATCAATTAGAGATGGAGATGTAGCCGCATTATCAACCGCATGACTACAAAAGTTTCTCACTTTTCCAAGGAAAAATGGTACCCTCTTGGAGTGCGTGTACTCTCTGTAAAAGCAATCATCTGAAATTGTTAAAAGTACTTGGCAACATTGAGTGGATAATGAAATTCTACGCTTGAAAACGGAAGTGATCAAATCTAATGCACAACCGTCCACCTTGATGCAAGAAGTAGTTGGAGCCAGGGCCAGGCCCCAAGACGGAGCCGTGTGTGGTGGCAAAACCACATCATCAATTTGGGATGGAGCCATATGTGTTGGTGAAGCAGCATTATCAATCGCAGATGGAGATGGAGTTGGTGGTGATGGTATTTTTGGTTGAGTACGCCACCACCATCGGGGCCACAATCCAATTGAAGAAGTACCAAACGATTCTGTTTTGGGTTCGGTTGCAGTGACCGTAGCAATGCCTATGCAACCCAACAGCAGAAACAAACATAACAATGTGGCACTTCTCAACGACGACGACATGTTTCAGAAAGAATGAGTAATTAATTAACTGAGATGGAAGGAACAAATATATATAGCCAAAGCGGAACTTCCGAAATCCTTTAAACTTGTATGAATAATACGGCGCAAAAGGAGTTGATATAAATAGGCAAAGTATTTAGGCGGTACTTCCCAATCCCTCTATACTTTAAATATCTACTTCTATCCAAATTAGGATTTTTGTTTATGTACAAACGCCCAAAAACAATTTATTTTTAAAAATAAAATTATCAAAATATTTAACATATCATCATACTTTTTCTAGAAGTAGGAATCCCCCTAATTGAAAGTTGATTTACGAAATTACCCTTCAAAAGTTCAGTGACCCTTTTGACCTTGACTAGAAAAATAAAACCTCATATTAAGTACAATCATGCCTACAACAGAAGAAGAATTTGCACGTACAAAAAATATTTCTTAGCAACATGATTTATTATTTGTTTTCGGTATTGGATTGATAATATTTGTTAAGAGGAAACCTTGTGGATTGTTTCAGGGTGAAAGAGACAAAGAGTATGTATTATTAGCTCTGTTTCAATAAACTAAGCAATTACTTCAAAAATTAAGTGACCTTGAAGCCCTATATTTGAAAATTGGTTTACCAAATGAAGATGACTGCGAATTACAATAAACTAAGGAACTGAACATTGAGAGGAAGAAAAAATATACTATAAAAAATCACATTTCACCTAGCATTTGTCTTGAAGTACAAAGACTTCTATATCATTATAATAATTATTTATGATATAAAATCCAGAAAACAATTAGAAAAAAAGTGAAAGATATGTTATCACTGACCATTTCCCTCCAAAAACATTGATCTCTTCACCACGTAGCTTTGGGATCTCAGCCATGTCTAATAGGAAATCATAAAGATAAGATCCATCAGCCATTTCCCTTTCTCTATAAGTTTCTATTTTTGTTTCTTGACCTTACAACATCATAAATCTACGCAAACCTTACCCCTACCTCGACTAACAAAAAATACACACAAAAGCTGCACCATAAGACTTATGGCTGAATTGATAATCTTTGTTCCTCCTCATGAAATCATCATAGAGATCCTCTTAAAGGTGCCACCAAAGTCTCTGTTGAAGTTCACGTGTGTTTCAAAATCATGGCTTGAACTAATCTCCAGCGTGAAGTTTATAAAAAACCATTTGAAATTAACAGCTAACGACAAAGAGTACAGCCACCACAGGATTATTTTTCAAGAACCCGCGTGCAATTTTAAGGTATGTTGTCTCCCTTCCATGCTTAACAAAGAACGTAGCACCGAGCTATTTGACATTGGTTCTCCCATGGAAAATCCCACTTTTTATCCTTGGATTGTCGGTTCTGTCAATGGATTGATTTGTCTGTATAGTAAGATAGAGGAGACAGTTCCATGGAACCCCACTATTAACAAGTCTAAGAAATTGCCTACATTTGGAGCTAACTTGAGGAACGGTTGCTCTTACTATCTCAAATATGGTTTTGGATATGACGAAACGCGTGATGATTACAAAGTGGTAGTTATTCAGTGTATTTATGAGGATAGTAGTTCATATGATACCGTAGTCAACATATACAGTTTAAGGGCTGATTCTTGGAGAATAATTAATAAGTTTCAGGGCAATTTTCTAGTAAATTCTCCAGGTAAATTTGTTGATGGAAAGCTTTATTGGGCTTTATCAGCTGATGTTGATACGTTCAATATGTGCAACATCATTTCTCTTGATTTAGCAGACGAGACATGGAGAAGGTTGGAGCTTCCGGATAGTTATGGAAAAGGCAGTTATCCGTTGGCGCTGGGAGTGGTGGGAAGTCATCTTTCTGTGCTTTGTCTTAATTGTATTGAAGGAACTAATTCCGATGTGTGGATTAGAAAGGATTGTGCAGTTGAAGTATCATGGACAAAGATTTTTACTGTCGATCATCCTAAAGACCTTGGGGAGTTTATATTCTTTACATCCATTTTCTCCGTACCTTGTTACCAATCGAATAAGGATGAAATTTTACTTTTACTTCCCTCCGTTATCTTGACATATAACGGTTCAACCAGACAAGTAAAGGTTATTGATCGATTTGAGGAATGTGCTGCTGCAGAAATCTATGTAGAAAGCCTTGTTGATCCCCTATTGATATCATGAAACCTCACAATCATTTAGGCGATAACTTGTAAGAGTTCTTTATTTAGCTTCTTCCGTCAGCTAGGTCAGATTAGAGCAAGAATTTTTGAGATTATAAAACTGTATACATTGATTTCTCTGATGAATAAAACTGTAAAATAGATGTGAAGATCCGAATGAATTAATTAAAGAGTTTAATTGAAAGTATTTAACTATCAGTATCACCCCTTTTTAACACCTATTAAGAAGCGGAATCCTATTTAAAGTAATAAACTGTGTTGCAATCAAACTACAACTCCTTGTACACTTAGGGCACAAACTACTACCATTCAGAAAAAAACATCCTTCTGCTATGGCCAGTGATTCCATAATCTCTTTTTTTCTTCCTGATGAACTCATAACAGAGATCCTCTTAAGGCTTCCTATCAAATCTCTGTCGAAATTCATGTGCGTTTCTAAATCATGGCTTCAACTAATCTCTAGCCCCGCTTTTGTGAAGAACCATATCAAGTTAACTGCTAATGACAAAGGATACATCTATCACAGACTTATATTTCGAAACACCAACGATGATTTCAAGTTTTGTCCTCTCCCTGCCTTGTTTACCAAACAACAACTCATTGAGGAGCTATTCGACATTGATTCCCCCATCGAAAGAACCACTTTATCAACTCACATTGTCGGCTCTGTCAATGGGTTGATTTGTGTAGCCCATGTCCGCCAAAGAGAGGCATATATATGGAACCCCACTATTACCAAGTCAAAGGAATTACCAAAGTCTACGAGTAATTTGTGCTCTGATGGTATCAAATGTGGTTTCGGATATGATGAGTCACGTGATGATTATAAAGTTGTATTTATCGATTATCCTATTCGTCGTCATAATCATAGGACTGTGGTCAACATATACAGTTTGAGGACTAATTCTTGGACAACACTCCACGATCAGCTTCAGGGCATCTTTCTATTAAATCTTCATGGTAGATTTGTCAATGGGAAGCTCTATTGGACTTCATCGACTTGTATTAATAATTACAAGGTGTGCAACATCACTTCTTTTGATTTCGCAGACGGGACATGGGAAAGCTTGGAGCTCCCCAGTTGTGGAAAAGACAATTCTTATATCAACGTGGGAGTTGTGGGAAGTGATCTTTCTCTGCTTTATACTTGTCAACGAGGTGCTGCTACCTCTAATGTATGGATTATGAAGCATTCTGGAGTTAATGTATCTTGGACAAAACTGTTCACCATCAAATATCCTCAAAATATTAAGATACAAAGGTGTGTTGCACCTGCTTTCACATTCTCTATACATATTCGTCACAGTGAAATTTTGCTTCTTCTTGACTCAGCCATCATGATATATGATGGTTCAACAAGACAACTAAAGCACACTTTTCATGTCAATCAATGTGAAGAAATCTATGTAGAAAGCCTTGTTAATCCCCTAAAGATATCTGACCAGGGACGTCGTAACCAGGAATCTCCACAATCATCACATAGCTGATAATTTGTAAGGATTCTGCTTCGTTTAGCTTGTTATGCTCTTTTTGCACCCTTTTTTGTTGTCAAATATAGGACAAGACATTGAATATA